ACCTGATTTGAGAAATGTGTTTGAGAAAAAAAACTCTGTACGCAACTAGTACTACGATAACGAAACTCGTGTCCGCCAATTGTTATGTTACAATATTGACCTTAATAATTTCGTCCGCAACTAGTATGTGTCCTATTTTTTAATTAAAAATGTTTAAAGTATAATCAGTGTTTGCACTAAAATATTTTTCAAAATAAGTAGATATAATATTATGTAACTACAGTATTAAAATAGTTAAAAAAAAATATATTTTTCAAGACTGATAGACATGGTGTAACATGTTAACATGGTGTAACAGGTCTATTTGACTAATGCTAAAACTTTTTTTTTTCAATATTTTTAAGTTTTTTTTTTAGATTTCTAAAGCTCTGTGCTATAATTTTTATTTGTTGTATTTTATTCTATGTTTTTACAAATAAAATAAAATAATTTAAATTTTGTACTAATTTTTTTCTTATAATCCAAGATAGCTATTTCATGAATAAGTATTTAAAAACACTTTTAAAACTTTTAATTTGGTTACGTTATTGATTTTTAAACAATTTTCAAAGTTTGTTATTTTTCAAATTAATTTCTTGCTAATCAGAGTTTTGTTATTATTTAAAGGTAGGTAATCAACAAAAAATACATATATATATTTTATCATTATTTAACATGGCCACATGATGCATACCACCACCATTAATCAAATAGACCTGTTACATCCTGTATACATAGTACAAACATATTATACCTATAGCAGCATAATATGCTGTAGATATAGACTTGATAGTGTAAAAATGTATGTAATATGTGGTGCTTATTAAAGTATATGATAAACTTTTCTTTATATTGGTATTGGTGTTATTAATAAATAATAATAATTAATAATATACATTATATCGTATTATGGTAGGTTTTTCACAAAAAATATTATTTATTCCTTATGATTAAAAAAAAAATTGTATACTTTAAATTGATAAAACCTATAAACATAAATATATTTATTACAAGTTATAGCAGTTCATTAATATAGTAATAGTCATATAATGGGCGTAACTAATATTATTTTTTTAAAGTATAAATAAATACTTGAATAATAAATTATTATTTTTTTTTTCCTTTTTATTTTTTATTTTTACAAGTAATATACAATCTGTATCATAAGCATAAGAATATGTGCTAAGAGTACATTCACAGGAAAATAATTTGATAAAAAGAGCCATCCATTGATGACACTTCCTATGGTTACTTAATTATTTGCTTAATAATTTTTTTTTAAAAACAAATCATGACATCACTTGCGCTTTAGGCGTCTTGGAGGATTACTTGGTATGGTAGCGGAGGCCAATTTTTTGATAAGTGGATTCAAATGAACGTTTAGGTGGTTGAAGAAACTTTTATAGAAACATTTAGATTCCTCAGCTATATTATTTCTAAATTATAATAATGACAATCGTCTAGAGTCTTGACAAAATTTGCTTAGAATTTTTTTAATTAATATCTAAACGATTTTTCGTCATCGTTGAACGCAATCAAGTCCTTACTCTTTTTAAGGTACTGAATGACCTATTGTGCTAGATGCTAGTTGTACATGACTAAGCTATAGAAATTTGTTTCTGTATACCTCATAATTCTGAAATGTTTAGGATATATAATATTCTACGTAAAACTGATCCAACAATATTATACATAAAAATTTTAACAGTATACGTAGTTAAATGGTACATGATGGTTAACAAAACAGTTAAAATAAAATGGAATGAAAAAATAAAATGATTTTGATTTTTTCATGGTTCGTGTTTTACTAAAGATTAACTA